GCAACAGACAACGACGCGGGTGATGATATCGCAGGCGAGATGGCAGAGGCAATGCTAGGTGGGGAGGAGGATGAAGACGACACAGAAGCAGAAGAAAAGCTGCTCTCGTGGGTAGCTCAGCAGCGCAACGGGAAGAACGGAGAGACCACTGCGGAAGAAGAGGACGACACGATGGAAGGAACAACGCAGCAGCCCCCATCGCCGCCTTCATCCGACCTCAAACGCAGCGTCCGCGTCGCCGAGACCAACACAAACAAGTCCTCTCTTAAGCGGAAGGCAGAAGACGAGCCCACCGTCGAAGGCTCTACAAAGGTGCTCAAGAAGAAGGCGACAAGGTCGTTTGATGCACCTACAGCTGCAAGTCAAGCTAAAGCCACTCCGTCGCGACCGATGACGCGGTCAAAGGCTGGGAAGCGCAAGTGAATACGGCCTGTATGATTGATTGCGGACAACAGGAGCATCGGCTCGCGTCACTGGCATATGTTTGACTACTGGTTTCCTCTTCTTTCTTTCTTTCTTGCATACGACACTTGTATACTACTTCCACGATGGACGAGATGACATGAGATATGGGGAAATCGGCCGGCTATCTTCGCAACCCTTTGCGGTATGCAAGGCATGTCACTTGCACGTATGGATAGCATAGCCTAACTTTCTCACGAAATGGCTTGAGACCCCACTGACGAACATCCTATTGACGTTCCGTATGAGTGAGAATTTTGACCTTCGAGTATGAAACTTCGCTGGAGGCGTTCAGAGGTTTTGAACAATATAACCAGATAGGATTTGCTGTTTCTTACAAAACCCATGCTTCATGATACACAGTCATTCGCCTTTCAACGATTAAAACACCTCACCTAGAACAACATGCCCAGCTCATTAGAATCAAACCCCATACCCTCAAATCCAAGCCCCTGAGCATTCCACCCCATATCCAGCGGCAAAAACCCATTCCACAACGCCGCATCATCCGCCGGCGCGTTCCCCCCACCACCACCCACCGCAAACTCATTAACAGCGCCCAAATCCGTCCACCCAAAATCGCCCATCTGCTCCGTAAGCGCCGGACTCTCCCCTGTCCCATTACTACTCGCCTGCGGACTCGCGCCCACAATAGGATGCTGAGGGAACCCATTCTGGTCAACCGGATTACTCGCAATATGCGTGCCTGGGTGGCGGAAAGAAGAGCGACTCGCCTTGTCCTTCTTTGGTACTTTTGCCCAGAGGAGCTTGAGGAGTTGTGAGTAGCGGGAGCCGGGGTGCTGGATGCCAGCGCCGGCTCCAACGGCGCTGCGCTCGAGGCGGGCGACGGTTTCGTTGATCATGGCACGGATGGCGCGGTCTTCGTCTGCGCTTATGACGCCGGTGCAGCGGGCGCGGTAGAGGAAGACGCCGGCGTAGACGAGGTAGAGGTAGTATCTCAATGGCATAAACCGTAGGGAGCGCTCTGGATCGACAAAGTTGTTCACGGTTGTGAGAATGGCTTTTGCGGCGTCGAGGCCTTCGTAGATGAAGCGCGCGTCGCCTACTGCGCCGACGTTGTTTACAAAGACGCGCTGGGGGACTTGCATGCGCCCGTTTGCCATGGTGGCTGGTGTGCCGACTACGGGGTCGGTGGATGTAGATGAGGAGGGCAGTGCCCGCAGGACGGTGGCTTGGAAGGCGAAGGCGTTGGTGTAGAGACGCAGGTAGTCGTATGACATGAGTAGACATGCTTTGAGCGGTGGAGAGCATGTCAAAGTGCCCCAGACACTCTTCCACCCGTATATCGCTGACCGGAAATCGTCGATGAATTTGATGTAGCTGCCGCTCATCTGCGATCGGAAACTCGAACTGGGGTTTGAATACAAAGTATCGTGGACATTGCTGAAGAGTTGCGTGAGTTCGAGATTCGCCTGGAATATAGAAGCATGGTCCTCTTCGTTCGGGCTCTTGGGAATCAACGATGGGTAATCCTCTCTTCGCAGCGTTGTCAAAGGCCCCGGTCCACGCGACCAGAACGCCTTCCCGATTCTGATGCTAATATGACGGTCAGACACATATGCCGCCGTCCAAATGAGGCGCTTGCGATGATGGTCCGGATCCTTGCCCTGATCCACGAAGCGGAACGAGTACCGATCGAGAGCGAGGAAGTACGCGATCCTCAGCGCAAGACCAACATGCATCCAGCTCTCTTTATCTTCTTCCCCCTTTCCGACCTTGCCAGAGCCACGCTGCGTATACGGCGCCCACTCAGCGAGCAGAAGGAGAGCTTCTACTGCTTCGATTCCGGCATCGCCTCCCGCTGCCAACGTCGAGACAAGGCTCTTCATGTGTTCGGAACAGGCTTCGTAGATGTGCGGTTCGTCGACGAGGTCTTTGGAAGCGATGAGGAGGATGGCTGTGAGGAGGTGTTTCTCGTTGTTCACCATGTCGGATAGGCGCGATGTTTCGAAGGCGTGCGCTGGCGCGAGCGGGTAGTATGGATGGTACTGCTGTTGGAAGCGTACGAGCAGCTGGCATAGAGAATGCACGGTGAGTATCCCTCGATCTAGTAACGGATATGAGAAGGACAGCGGCGCAGGCATGCTGAGAGATGACCCTCGCGCATGTCCTATGCTGTTGTTTCTACCCGTCCCGTTGATCTCGTCATTCGAGCTTGATTCTCCAGCAACCCTCGCCAGTATACCCAGCGCATCCGACGGGTTCTGCAGGTTCGAAAAGGGCAGTTCATCGGTATTCGAAGAGCCAGAGCGTGATGCTTGGAGCTCTTCGCCGAAAGGCTGTACGCCTGGGTCTTGCGACCATGTGGTACCGAGATTTCCCAGCGTGTGAAAGCTTCCTTCGGGTGCGGTATTGGCCAGCGATGGGAGCGGCTGTTGTGGTAGCGATTCAGATTGCGACTGCGATTCATCGACGCGTTTCTTCTTGCGCTCGCGTCTTCCGCCGCGGTTGCTGCCGCCTAGTACGCATTCGAGGTTGTCGCGCTTGCACCTTAGGCATGGTATCGAGTTGTCGGAGTCGCTGCAACGCCACGTTAGATTTACATACGATATGCAAGCAAATTCGGCGTCGCGACACAAGCTGTCCACGCGCAAACTTCAATCCAAGCAAGCTCCAAATCGCCGACGCGCAAACAAACAAGAAACCTCAGCCACTTACAGCAAACACCGACTCTTCCTCTTCCTGCAGTTCAAACACGCAATCTGCGTCCTCTTGATCTTCGAAGCTTCGTCCTCATCCGGGTTGGTGGCCGCCTGCGCGCCAGCAGGCTGTTGTGGGGCATTTGCTTCCATGCCTCATCTCGAAGCAATGCGTCGTGTCGGTGTTTGAAGCCGTCGGGAATTGTGGGCACCTTAACAAAACGCGGGGACGGCAACGCTGGCATCGGTTATTGCTGGTATCGGGCCGAAGTCGTGAGCGGACATGGGCTTTTCTGTTCTCAAGGTCATCCCATGGTTTGCGGATCGTGGCAAGGGTCGGACATTGTTTGATGATCTTCAAGATCCAGCTGCACTGGAAACGTAGTGATTATCATGGTAATGATGGCGTTTGGTGTTCTTGTCCGCCCCGGGTAAAGGTAGGTTCGTAATCGCGCACCGCCGGCCCCTGACCCAACCACGTCTGCTCAGTGACATGTAATTCCCCACTTTGACCGTAGAACGCTTAGCTCTCCGGCCCAAAGATCGAAAACCACTTCTTCATCCTCGTCGTGGCGTCTTGTAAAATTCGTACCACGCAAAAGTGCATTTTTTGACTTGGTACATATTTTGGTCTTTTCAGCCAAAGTTCATCAAGCAAGGCTCGTTGGTGTAGTTGGTTATCACGTCAGTCTAACAAAGGCCCTCAAAAGCCCGTTAGTACACTGAAGGTCCGGAGTTCAAACCTCCGATGAGTCAAAGCCCAAGGGTTTCAGTGTAACAGTTCTGCGTTCGCGCAGGGCTATTCTTTTTGGCCAGTCCAAGCTTTCGCAGTTGGGGTATTCATTGCGAATTAGCGAGCTTTTTGCCTGTTTCTAGCTAACAGCGGGAACATGCTGTACAAAGTTTATTGTAGGATACAAGTTAATACTGCCTAGAACTACATCCTGTATTTTCCTTCTTTGCACCATTCGTTTCGGACGCGGGAAACTTGCCAGACACGAAAGAACGGTTGCACTTTCGCAGTGAATCTGACGTCTGGTTTCTAGGTGAATCAGCGTTCCTTTCTTTTCGTTTCGTGCATGAGCGTTCTCTTCTTTTCATTTCGTACAACATCCGGTGGTACACCATCCGAAGACACATCATCCGAAAGGCACAACATCCGAGCATCGCATGCAAGGCACCGACTTTTCTCAGACTGGTATGCTCCAGTTATATAGCCGCTACTGTTATGGTTATCGCATTTTCACATGCGCGTACGTAGTGGTCTATCGTTCAGCGACGGTTGCTGCCGCGTCTACCTAGGTACTTACAGGTCCTCCTGCCATATCAAACGTCCCAGCAACCTTCTGCAGCAGCAACACGACTCAGTCCTCGTCATATATCACCAAGACACGTATCAGTACATGCGATTTTTGCCTCGATCTTTACCACGCTAGACCGTCGTCGGCCCTATAGCGGCGTAGGTGACGCTCTAAGGATAATCTTGGAACCTTCCACGATTAGGACCCATAGCTTTCGAAATCAACCGGTAGTAACCGACGGTAACTCACTAGGTGATGAATAGGCGATACAGACGTGTGATTTGGTAAGGCAGTCTGGTGGCGATTATTCAGCTTTCTGTCGGATGGTTACTACAGTACAACAGGTGTGATATAAAGACGTAGCTGCTCGCGATCGTTACTCATATCTCATCACTACAACATCAATTTCGAGGTTATCAATTCTACCCTTAGATCGTAGTTGCAATCTACATTGTCTTTTGTCCGCAAAAAGAAACATTTCCATCCAGCAAGGAACCTGCACTAATTCCAAACAACGTAACGAACCCCATCCCACTCTCTCAGCACCCACCAGTTCTAATCACTCACCTCACAGACAATGTCCTCTGCCCTCCTCCCCCACCTGACCCGCTTTACGGAGTTCATAAACAGCGGCGACGTCGCCATCGGAAAAGAAGTCATCTCACCTAACGCGACCTTCCACGTCCCCTTCGGTGGGCCCCCTCTCCAAGGTCTCGACGGCTACCTCCAAATCCTGGGCATGATGCGCAGCGCCTTCCCCGACATCCAATGGACGATCAAAGAAACCATTGCCGAAGGCGGCAAAATCGTATGTCGCTTCGAAACACGCGGTACACACAATGGACCCTTTATGGGCGTTGCTCCTACCGGAAAGAGCATTTGCATGACAGCACTCAACATTTACCGGTTTGAGAATGGCCAGATTGTAGAGGAGTTGGGACAGCCTGATATCTTTGGACTGATGGTGCAGATTGGTGCTATCCCTGTGCCAGGACCTTGATGGTTGTGAAATAGAGTAAAGAGAAAAGATGTCAAGTACATCGAATATGCCATTGTGAAGATGAGAGTGATTTGATATATACTCTTCTTAGCGACGCATACGTCGCCTTCAGTAATGAGATTAGTAGTCTGATATGTAAAAGCGACGATACCACATCGCGCTTGCCCTCTTCCTCTCCATCGCTCTTCTATGCACCGCTCATTATGTTTAGAGCCCCACTAACCCCCTAAGTTATATACTCAAGTTGATCCAACGACAACGAGCTTTTCCCAATCCTGATACGCCAATGCTAACAAGCAGTTTAATGGACAAAAGAAACAACAAGTGATGGACAAAAATAACATGCAAGAACTAATATGTACGAAGACGGTACGTCGTGAAAATCTTCATGGCTCATAACTTCATCATTGCTTACGCAACGTAAGCGGGCGGTGCTTCGATCTCATCGTCGCTCTGCCAAAAGCCTCCTGTGGGTGCTGTCTTCGTCCGGGTGTGTGATGGTCGCCGAGATGATCGGTCCTTTTCTTCTTGGACCTTGCGAGCAATCTCCTGCGCCATCTTCGTCATCCATGCTTGTTCGAGGATGCCGCCCGAGCTGGCCATGACGTCAGCGTTCGGTGGAGAAGAGGTGCGCGGCGGCGAGCAGAGGGCTGAGAGCGATGAGACCTTGTCAAAGGATAGGGAGCGAAGGAGCGGCGAGGTGGATTGCTGTGCCTGGCGTAGCTTGTTGCGCGATAGCGGCGGACGTCTGGAAGAGGTGTGGGATACAAATGGGTCTTCTAGGTAAGCGGCTGGTGGAGTCTTTTGCTTCGATTTGCCAGGCTTTGATGACTCTGAGAGGACTGGCGCAGGGGCGAGCAGAGGGCCAAAAGCAGGAGGTTCTTCGGGTATCCGTTTTGGCGTACCGATGTCCAGACTGCCACGTCTACTCTCAAAGCGCATGCCAGGTTGTGCGGGGCTCGTTGGTGGGGTAGCGAGTTCCTCCTCTGCCTCTCTTTCCTCAGGTATGACGCTCGATGTCTCGGAGGCGTATGCGCTGGGCAACGGTGTGTTGGCCCCTGTGGAGACGCCGGAATCGACGCCGTCCTTCTTGCGTAGATCAACAACGCGCTTCTTCCGTTTCCGCATGCCACCTGTGCGTGAGCGACTTGAGCCCAGACTGAGCCCCGCCGATGTCGAGTACGCCGATGCCATGGTGGGTCGCGAGCTCAGCGTCTCGTTGCCTGTGCTGCCAGACGCGACTGACGAAGCGCCAGACTTGAGACTGCCAAATGTCGACTGAATCCTTGACAAACTGCCTTGTGTGAGTGCCGGTGTCGCAGCACCAGACTCGGGCCTGTCTGGGTGACCTGCCCACGCTCGGAAGACGGCATCGCGAATGCCGGGTGTAAAGAGGGAGAGGGTTCGTTGCGATTCGGAGAGGGCGGCTAGGCGAAGGATGTTCTTCTGGGAGAAGGAGGCGTGTATCTCGCCAGAGTCGAGCGACAAGGCCGAGATCTGCGCTTCGTCTAATGGGTTGCCGAACGCATCGACAGCGTCTTGTGGTGGCGATGCGAGGGGATCGATGGCTGCGGTGGTATCGTTGGCGCTCTCTAGCCGCTCTTCTGTTTCAATTTCCTGGTACTCGGGCGACAGCATGCGTAGTGACAACCTGTGAATGATAGCTGGCAAATCTTCCATGAACAAGACACGCAGTTGGCCCTCAATCTCCTTTTGCAGGTAGTCGCGCACAAAGGGGATTGAGTCAAACGTCGACGAGACCTTGAGCGAATCCAGAGGGTCGTTCCTGAAGACCAGCGTCAAGCCCTTTTGTTTCGAGAAGACCAAGATGACGAAACCAGACAGTCGGATGTTAGACAGTGTAATTTGCAACGGTATAGTCAAGCCCGATGACGCTGCCAGTGGCTGCGGTGACGCAAAGTCGGGCTTGTTGGAGAGATACGTCTTCAGCGGATTTGCCTGGACTTTTGTTTTGAGCGTCAGAAACGCGTCGCCCGCATACGACATCTTGAAGATGCCCCTGAACCGGTCCTCAGCCAGGTCTCCAATCTCCAGTATCTCGAGCTCGGGCGGGGTGGTGCCGAGATTGAGCTCGGTGACGATGATGTCGTCGACGATAATCGGCGGCTTGGGCGACTTGTTGAGGGCCGTCGTCAGCATGTCGCGCGCCCTCGACGTGTCGGCTATCAGCGGCGACCAGTTGAAGTTGAAGGCCATGGTGGGTGGTTGATGCGTGGAGCGTCGACGTGGTTACCGCGCGGGTGTTGGGGATTGGCAGATGATGCTGCTGTCGCGTGCATTCGCCATGCGATCACACGAGGCCAATTCTGGGGGTTGGGCGTGTTTCGGACGGGACGGGCGGGGTGACGGGCGGGCAGTGAATATTGCGGGCGGTGTGGGCAGGTATAGATGGGCGTGTTGTGGTGGAGAGAGCGTGGGAGCACATGCGGCACTCGAGGGGATTTTCCGGGTGAAAGGTACCGACGTCAAGGATGATGCCGCCAACTTTTTACACAACCGCTCGTCGGCCGTGCGCAGACAGCACCCGCCCCTCGCATCCGGTTTAGTCTACCTGAACATCGCGACTGGCGGTGAAGAGCCTGGAGCCGTTGTATGCACGTCTACGTTACAGACTAGCATCCCGCTGCGAGTGATTCGCTGCCACCACTGCCACCTTGATCGACAAGTTTCAAAAAGCCCTACGTCTAGCCACATGTCAACACAATATGCTTCCATCGCTGCCGTTTGGCCTGTCAGGTACTAATTTCCCCATCTTCGCTATAGCCCAGCTACCCCAGCAGCTCCACGCCGTCGAGTAGGAAATTGCCCAATAATAGCAGCGGCCGATTGTTTGAATCACCATCCGAGCTTTGGCAGGCAGATCTGCCGTGCGCGGGTACATCATCTGTAGTCGTGAAATTTGTTTTCATGCATCCGTCGTTATCGCAGGTGGTTGGTACACGTGGATGACCTGGCGACCTTGGGACTGAGACAACACACACATTCCTTCAGTCACGCGCATCCTGATACTCGGCCCATTACAACGCTGCGCCTTGATCCTCCTTGAGCAGCTTCTCCACAGCGTCCACCTTGTCCTTGAATCCTTGCTTCTTGTCGGTCCTGCTCCCCACACGAATATCGCTCTGAATCCTCACAATCCCATTCTGATGCAGCATCGCATGGCATTGCCCTATGACCCGCATAACGTCGTCCCACGAGCCCTCTAACCATAGTTAGCATGCACATTCAAGAATATTCCATATACCCCTCCACCTTCCAAGCCACCAGGCCCGCATACCGGCCGAGAAGAGGGTTGGCTCGCACGCGAGAGCGTACAGAATTCAGAAAGTGGGGTGTGTGCAGGCACATACCAACTGTTGTCCCCGCGGAATGCATCGAATAATCCAAGCCGCTTTTCTTGAGGAGCCGCTGCACTTCCGCGACTTCCTTGGATACTGATGCTGTGGGGGTGCCCAGGGGGATCAGACAAAAGTCTGCAATGCACGCTGGCGGGGTCGCAAGATTGGTGAGGTCGTCCGAGGCTGACATGATGTAGTTCCGTTATTGCAGCTGTGGGGTATATGCAAAAGGAAAGTCTTGAAACAAACGGTCGTTGAGTGAGTCCGGATATGGGTGACGTCCGAGTTCCGTGTTCGTCGGACCTTCTTGACTCCAGCACCGAGCTCGCTGCCCTGCCCGAACACCAACAGGCGGATGCAAACAAAAGAACTACTACTACGACCAATTAGTTGATTTGCGTGTTGTAAAAGATATGAGGGTTTGGATTATACAAATGAGCGTAGGGGTAAATTTTACACATATCATCTGCCAACCACTGTCTCCAGGACTCTCTACCTACCTAGGTAGGTAGTCTTTGCGATACATTCAGCTCCCATCAAGATATACATACCTGAGATGCTTCATGAACTCCAGGCATCTATTTCGTTCTTTGACCCATAACAGAATTCCAGTCCTATATCGACCAAGCAAACAACCCACCACCACGCTACCCCAACAACTCCACGCCAGCACACTCACCCGTCACACCACCAAGCAAACGATATGTCGCATCCCGTTTCCAAAGCAAGCATCTAACAATCTAGGTACTCCGTCGCTCCTACTCTCCCGCAATCCTCCACCATGTCACCGCACTTCACCCCCCTCATACCCCTCACATAGCCCCTCGACTATCTAGGCCCATCATAACACCGACAAGCAACGTTAGTGACAATGTCGGCATCCACGAAAACCGGTGGCGACCCTCCGATAATCATATCGATGGGTCCCGCAACTACTATCGTGACGACCATGGACGCACCTACTATCGTGACTACCGTGAACGCGACACCTACAACCCCAACTGATCTGGAGACTTTCCCCATAGTCACGAGACCGGATCCTGCCACTATAGTACCCTCGACGACTGACGCCGGAACGACAACGTCGACTACTGAGACCGGAGATGACAAGTCCTCTTCTGTGATTCCCACTACTTCTACTTCTACAACGTCTCCTCCAGACCCATCTTCCAGTCTACAGACAACTCTCTTTTCGTCTTCGTCTGATGCAGCTCTCTCTTCGTCCACCGCACTACCCTCCATTACAGCGGAGCCTGATCGCGGTCTAAGCGTACCAGCATCAATCGGTCTGGGTGTTTCTACGGGCGTTATTGCGATTTGTGTAATAGCCAGTGTGCTGTGGGCGGTATACGGCCGGTCTCTGAAGAATATGTGGAGGAATTCCGGACGTGGGGCTGGTGGGACGGGTGAGAGGTGGTGGTGGAAGAGAGGGAGACGGGATAGTTTTTAATTTTGATTGGGTGCATTTGGATAGATGTTCGTGACTCTACCGGAGACACGAAGAACCCGATTTGCTTCCAAGCCCACCCTTGACTTGACCCATTCGTGAAGCCAACTCGTTCATTCCCTAGCTACCACTAGATCCATCAGGCATGCCAACTTAGACCTCAATATCCGGCAGCTGTCCCGGCAAACCCACAGGGCTATCCTCCAAAATCCTCTCATGGCAAAATAACAGGTTACTAACAAGTAAGACCCACATGAAGCTCTCCCACAAGCTGGTGACCAACACCGAAATCTTCTTATACTCGGGGATGAAAGCACCCAAAGGTACGTCCTGCATCTCCGCAATGGCAAGCACCATAGTCTGAGCGAATGCCTCTTCGAGAGAAATCTGAGACGTAGGGTTCATCACTGCTGTGGCGTTGTGCTCAACGAGGTCAGCCCACGTCTGATCGGACCAAGCGAGAGTACCAGAACCTATAGCGAGTGGTCAGTAGAAGCAAAAAGAGTGATGGTGGAGAGCGCGAGGTGACTTACTCCATATTGGAAAGCCTCCGCCTACATACTGGCCCAATGACTTTGCGGATTCGGCGATGATACTGTGCAGACTGGCTTGCCCTTTCCAGACTATGGTGTCGTAGTCATTGTAAGCATCCCGGCCACCTTTGTCGTCGGCCGGCAGCGCGATGAAGTGGCGGTTGAATCGACGCATGTTGACGGGAATCAGGCCGATGTAGAATTCCATGAGGTCAGGTTGATACCAGGCGTCTTTGTGGCGGCACATGACCCATGGTGTCTCGTCGCACTGCAGACTCGTTAGCACATCGTCATTTAACAACAACAGACATCATTTCAAACTCACATCTTCATACGTAACCTCGAACATCTCAATAGCCTCGACTTCGTAGCCTTCTTTAGTAAATATCTTCTTGCACGCGTAGTTAATCTTGCTGTCGTTCCACATTTTGACCTCGTTTACTGTCGGGTGCGCCAGCTGTTTGACCAGGTACTCGCTCACATCCAAGACTGGAGGATTGAGAGTGGGCTTGTCGACGGGTTTGGGCTTGTCCTTGTGGCTGAGAAAGTCTGGCATCGGGTCGTTGGACTCTCTTGCGGGGGCTGTACCGACGGCCATGCTGGTGAGCGCGGTAAGGCATAGCAGAATGGCTCTGGAGAGCATCATGATGGGGATATGTGAAGTATTTAATTGGTTGTAATCGTTGTGTGATAAGGCTGAGACGGAAAGTGTGGTGTAGGAAGGTTTGTTACTGAGAAAGACGGGCATGATATAGATCTCACCTGTGCTCCAGACGGCGCTAGTAGCATCTGCAATGCGATGCTGACCGCTGAGGTGGGAGACTGATATGGCGGTCAAGGTGAGAGAGATTACATCTTCTAGTGATAATCGAACAGCAATTACAGGACCATGCGCATCCCGATGGGCTCAAGAGCTTAACAATCCATTTCAAAAAAAAAACCTTACACTCTCCAGAGAGCACAAAGAACCTACAGCACTAAGCACTCGCAGCAACTATCCCACCGCGTGTGATGTGAGGTCTTGCAGCGATCTTGTCCTCCAAGTCTAGCAACGAGAACCTAGGCCTGCGATAAGTGTAGCCCACGAAAGCACCTTTCTTCCTGATCTCCAGAACAGTTTGGCTGACATCTGGATCTCGAAGAAGCTTGTCGCGCGGTCGTTTCTTTTCTCGTTTGCGTCTCTTCATGTCCCGCAATGACTTAGCGAACCCTTCTTGAGCGGGCGTAGCTGCACCATCATGCTGGGTAGTCGGCGGGACCGGGGACATGACATCATCCTCACCATCTTGAACTTCTACCGCAGGGTCTGCCAGCCCCCCGAGAGCTTCGTAGCTTGAAGAGTCGAGATGGTCAGACGCGCTCATGATCTCGGCCTCGTCGTCGAAGTATTTGGTGATTGGCTGACCGCCGTGAACGCGTGGTACGAATGGTGGACGAGTCAGATGCAGTTGTGACCACTGAATGTTGCGGAAGAAGGGGTGCGACTTGATGTCTTCGGCATCGTTGGGGTAAACGATGTGACCAGTGGTGTTGACGTTACGATTGCGGCGCGCACCAGCAGCTTTGTCGCGGAGGACCCAGTCGTTCTCACGGTATCGCTTAGCTGAGAGACGATCTTGTCTGTCCTCGAGCAGTCGCATCATGAGGTCGATTGCGTTGCGTGAAACTGGCATGAGTGGGACGCGGTCGATGTTGGGACGGGCATAACGTTGGTCAGATGGGAATCGCAGCCACCTCCTATGATCCTGCGCGAGTTAGCACCAGAACGCAGCGTATCATAGCCAAACCTACGAGTATGCGCATCTTCGTAGCTTGGCGGTTATCGCAGAAGAAGGGCGTGCAGCCGTAAAGGCACTACGAAATCGTCAGTGTAAACAAGCATAACATCTCATGCCCACATACCTCGTATAATATAATACCAATGCTCCACCAGTCACAGCGACCGTCGTAGCTTTCGCCTCGTATGACCTCTGGTGCCATATATTGGCTCGTACCAACGACACTCTTGGCGAATTCACGCCTCTGCTCTCGATTTAACCAGTCGATGATGGGTCCATGCGTTGAGGCTTGTCTGGTATGGTAACGACCGCGGGCCGCTGCGCTTCCATTGACGAGATTCATGGTCTTGTGAGCGTCTGATCGATCCTTGTCTTCCTCAACGTCTTGTGCGTCGCCTTTGACATGTAGATCCAAGTCGCGGAGTAGACCGTATCGTTGCTCGTTGTAGTAAGTCTGGTTGTGAGCCCAATGTCCATCAAAGGCGAGGCCAAAGTCGGAGATCTTGAGATGGCCAGACGATGTGATCAAGAAGTTGTCGGGCTTGACATCGCGATGGATCCAGTTCATCTTGTGTGCCTCCTCGATGCACAGTATCATCTCTGCGAGATACCACTTCGCGACGTTTTCATCGAGGATGTCTTCGCGAAGAAGGAGGCCCAGGAAGTCGCCGCCCATCATGTATTCCATGACGAGATAGAGATTGTTGTTGTCCTGGAAAGCAGAAATGAGGGGAACCACCCATCGCGAATTCTCCGACGCGACTAGAAAGTCTCGCTCCGCTCGCAAATGTCCCTCTTGGCTATTGCGAAGCATATCCGACTTCCTGATGACCTTCATGGCGAAGACTTGCTTTTGTCTGCGGATGGACGGAGAAGGCCTATCAGTTTTTGGCGTCAATGAGCCATCGAGATATCCCATACTGCAGCTGCTTCCGCGTAGACTGCCGCAATTGTCACTCTTCTCGCGAACGAGACGCACAACACCGAAGCTGCCTTTCCCGAGGACTCTTACGATGTCGTAATTAGAAATGTGCACGCCTTTCATCGTCTGGCGGGCTAGGGTATTCGACTTCATGACACGGGTTTGACGCAGATGATGTGTCTCTGCAAGATACTATTCTCGCCTTTTGGAGTGACGTTGCTCGTTCGGTATGGCCATGGTGAATACCTTCCGCTCCATTTGGCGGCGACGCATAGATCGTGGTGTAATCTTGGTACCGAGAAGCTGATTGAAGTGTGACTCGAAGAAGATCTTCGCCGCTGCTGCATTCTCGATAGTCGCAACGGAAGGCTCACACAGTCGCGGAGCGTCTTGACGTGGAAAGACAAGGAATCTTGGAGGCAAACGTTCTGGGGTCGCCTCACAATAGAGTGCAGGTTGATTGTCGGTTACATGACGACCGTTCTGACTTCGATAGGTAGTTTCAGCAGACAGCGGCGCGCCTGATGAGACCAACGATGTCGGTGCAGTGGACTGGCTCAGCGGTGCGACGCTGCTGGAGGGGCTTAGGACACTTGATGGAAGCGAAGGAACCTCTGACATGGCGCTTTTGGGCGAGGTGGTAGTTCGCTGATCATCGCTTGGATGCTTGAAATGGTCTGTTCGAACCATTGGCCGAGAGCTCATTTTGGGTCGACGTACCACCGTATCGTTGTTCATTAGGGCGTTGGAAATCTTGGCGGTGAGTTGCTGGGAGAGACTTGGTGTGGACCAGCTTGTTGTCATGGGTGTAGGAGGCGGAGTGCGGGTTCTTGGTATAGGTTCTGATTCGCCATCGAAGACGGCAGCGTTTGTGAGTTGGAGTAACGATGAAGAGCCCGGATCTAGGGAGAGAGCTGGTAGAGTCATAGGTACATCGGGAACGACAGGGCACTGTAGAGGAGAGTTGGAGTAGGAATTGATGTTATCGACACGTGGTAGGTCTGCTGGTTTGTTGACCGTTGACCCAGTGCTACCAAAGGTAGCCTCGCCGGAGCTTGGAGCGGAACCTGTTGGTACTATCAGTAGAAGCTAAGAGGTACCAGGCAGTAATGGGTAACAACTCTTGCCATTGCGGAAGATTGAGAAGATCCTGATGCTCCCACGACGAAGTGTAGTAAAGGTACGGCTAGCAGGGGTGCTGTTGCGCCCCTGTAGATTCTTCGTGGAGCCGCTGGAGTAGCCTTCTGCTGATCGCTCGATGACGCGGACCTTGCCTTTATCACGAGATAGTTGTATCGCGTTATGGGCTTCCTTTCTCTTCCGCGCTGGGACGAGCGACAACATGTCAGTAGCTCGGGTGTCGGGTGTTGACCGAAGTTAAGTTCGGACTGAGTAATAATGTTCGATGAACGCCGCGGTCATCGAAGAATATCGATGCAGGACGGTTGGTGGCAAGCGAGCCAGAAAGGACCTGTAAGGTGGATACTGTTTACACCTGCGATGTTGGAAGGCATGACTTGAGTGACGAGGCAAGAAGCCCCATCGCAGGAAGGTGGCCAGGGTCTCTCAGTGCTCGAGGAAGGCGCTCATGGCATCACACCTGGCAGCATCAACAGCGGTCGTACCTAACGCAACCGCTATCCCGGACGCCAGAATCAACGAACCCGTGCACCCTGCGTCCAACACGATCGACAATCTCATGGCGCTTGGCTAAAGCGATGCTTGTTCGCTGCTAACTCCAGTGCGCAAAGATGTTCGTTTGACTCAAGCAAGGGGAGTACGAATGCGGTACCTCGCGCCGTACAGACAGGCACTAGCAGCGAACCGCAGGAAAGATGGCACTGCGCGGATGGTGTGCTGGTGCGCTCGGCACGACGCGGGCCCAGAAGAGATGCCTTTTCAAGCAATTGGTTATTGCGAATGGAGGCTTCGTTCGTCCCGGCGCAGTGGACACTTCCAAGCGACCAGGGGCGGCGAAACAAGCTCCCAATCAGCGTCGTCGACACTCGGCCTTCCCCAGCTGTCGCACTGCAGCCCTCATGCAGCGATATGAGGATAGAAACATGCGCATGTTGACGGCTGGGGATTATATTGCGGCGAGGGCGTTGATCGCCGTTCGTTGGGGGCCAGTGGCGGCTAGCTGACTGTGCGCGCGATTGTCTGCGTCTTTCAGCATTCTTCTCCCACGAACACAGACGTCGCCTACGCGGTGTAGCTGCGGCGTTTCAAGATTCTGCATCACGCCTTGGTCACACTATCACGGCCGAGTCGCGCGGATGAGGGCATTTTTCAGATCCGGAAACCTTCCTCGCTGTCTGCTGGTGGGCATGTGGACTCTGGAGTAGTTGGGCGCTTAGAGGTGTCTGGCCGGACTGCCGAGACTCTGCAAAGTCATCACACGCCTCTGCAAATCAGAGGCGCCATGCGCATGGCCACCTCGGACGCTATTCGCTCCGCCGACAGAGGCTTTCCCTCCCGCCCGACAAGACCTGCATACGCGAAGCTCAGTGGTCGCTGGCCCCTGTAGATTCAATATGCTAGCGACGTGCCTATTCGCTGCCTACTCAATGCTTCGAGGGCTGACATGCAAAGGCTGGCCATGCTGGCGGGCCCGTTTTGCTCTGTTCATTCGCCTGAAGCGTCTCTTTGGCGAGCAATGCCATGGTTGCACGAGGCCCTCGAGGCCAAGTCCCATAATCCATAAGTGCTGATGCCCCCCGCCACCGCACGCTGCCCGTTCTGCGTCGACTACCATCAAATCGTGTACCCCAAAGCTGACGGGTCACTGAATCAATAAAAACAAGGACTTCCGCTTCGCAACAGTCTTTGCTTTCCACATCGCACCGCCAAAATGTTTCGTTTTACCGAGCTCGTTTTTATCGCCGCTACCTGGTCACTCGCTACTGCACATACCGTTATCGTCTACCCAGGATGGAGAGGAAACAACATCCACACCAACGGAACCAAGTCTGACACAGACCCATCGATCCCTGATGGCTCGATTGGGATCAACTACCACGAAGACACCGGCACATATGGATTTCCATACGGCATGCAATGGATGTACCCATGTACGTTTTCCCGATTGGGTATTCCGCGCAGGAGAAGATAACTAACATGAACTTCTAGGTGGTGGCATGCCAATGTCGCAAAATCGCACAAAGTGGCCGGTCAACGGCGGCGCCGTCGCAATCCAACCTGGATGGTTCCCAGGCCACTCGCTCGCCATGTTCTACGTCAACATGGGTTACGGCAACGAACCGCTGAACTACTCGCACACGATGGTCCCAGTCTTCCAGATTACAGGGCCTACAAACCAAGAATACCCCGGTTCCTTCTGCCTACCGCAAGTCCCATTACCTGCCAACTACACACCCCAGGTTGGAGACAACGCGACTATCCAGATTATTGAGCTTGCGCAACACGGCGCTGCTCTTTACAACGTGAGTGCAAGCGTCTGACCATGGCAGCCGTATAGATGCTAATAGATTCAATAGTGTGCCGACATCACTTTCGCCGAACCAGAGGATGTTCCCGAAGTCAACAGCTCAAACTGCGTTAACACAACAAACGTCGATGACCACATTGGCTTCCAAATCGTATACTCGACAACATCATCGCCAGCGCCACACAACATGGTCGTTAACACCTATGCATCGATCATAGTGCCGGCAATGCTTGCAGCAGCGTCGTGGGTCACATGGGTCGCCTAGTGTACGAACCTGACTTTTATCTGCGAATATAGTCTTTTTATGGGCAAGGAGTTTTGGCGCGAAAGATATCCGGTCTCTTTTGAAGCGACGATCTCGATTTGGAGCGTACGCGGTGGTTTGATCTGGGTGGTTGGTGGACCAGCTGTTCAGCAGCTATGACGGTCTTTCTTAGGTGCACATAACACGTTACTGTGCGGTATGATGTACAGAAGCTACACATGCAATACCATTCATAATCCCAACACTTGCGTTTCCACTAGTCGCTCACTTGTAAGCTATATGCTGTCATGCTTATACCGACTGCAACAAAAAATAGCTGGTGTATCCAAGCCGTCGGCAGGACGCCTGATCCGCATGTGCAATCCCGACGCGAGCGGATGGCTTGAACTACCGCTACAGGCCAGATAGCAGACCCCTAATCAAGGGAGGCACGGTTCCCACACGGTCTTTACTATAGTTGTGGTTTGCGGGCCACAGCCATAGCCAAGGTCGCCGCCATTCCGCCATCGGAAATCCCGTTCCGAGCCTCCCTTTCCCCACTAAAACCCAACCAGACCCTGGCCTCTCACGATGATTTTCTACGCGCCCAGGTGGTCCCTTCCCGTCATCGCCTCGCCCTCGATACTTTGGCCACGCCTTACTTACGCGCCCATGCAAGCCGCACCTTAAGTCGACGACGCGACGATCGGTGAACCCTTTTTGTGCAGTGTGCGTCATTGTGGGTTTGAGGTGCGCTTGTGGTGAAGGGAGTATGCGCTTTGGTTTTTGCCAAGACTGATAGCTAAGAGTGGTGTGTGAAGAGGTAGAGAAGAGATGAGTAAGAAAGGAAGAGGCCGCGTTAAGAGGAAGGAGGTGCAGAGTGAGGATGGGTGGACTGTCATTACCCATGGCTTGGCGAGTATTTCGCTTGATGGGAAAGGGAAGAAGGAGGCGGATGCTGGGTCCTTGCCTACGAGGATAGTAGAGGGTTTGACGGCAGAAAAATTATCGGACGATTTCCGCCTGCTTCAAGAGCGGTGGGAAGATACGCTGCTTGCGAAGCAAGTCAAAGAGATTGTGGAGAAGAAAAGCGCTGATGGCAAAGGGGATGTTGAAGAAGCGGTATGCATTGGCATCGGCAGTTTCAGTCGAGACTGGGCGCATCGGTGGAGGAGTCTCTGGCAGCTTGTACTGTTTGTCGATGCAGTCAACCGGCGTATGTTATTGATATTCAACCCTTTGCATCCGCCCAAGATCACTAATCTCCACGCAGTCAAAGACGAAATCAAGGACACCAAGATACAATGTTTCGCCCAAGACCCAGCATTCACAACCCTCGACATCGAATTTCTATCGTACCTCTCCATCACGGTCCTCGACTCCGATCTCCAGGCCCACATCACGTCCAAATCCTTCGTCTACTCGCCATTTGTGGATTGGTATCTTCTCCTACCAACTTTC